GCCTTCCAAAGACAGCTGTTCTCTCCTTAGCTGGAAGTGTGGCTAAAGTTCTGGGTTATAGTGTCTGAGATGCGACCCCTCTCTCAGTAGGTCTTTCCCAGAGAACCAGGCTGATTTCTGTGTCTCTGGCACACAGGAGTGACCCCTTAACTGTTATGCCCTTTTGCATACGCTACAGGCATATCTCATTTGATTGCACTTCAGTTTATTGTATTTCACAGATCATGCATTTTTAACAAATTGAAGGTTTGTGGCAATCTTGTGTTGAACAAGTCTCTCGGGGCCATTTTTCCAACTTTATTCACTTTCTGTCTCCTGTGTCACACATTGTGGTGATTCTCACAATATTTCCTACTTTTTGGTAATTCTATTTATTGTACACCTGATAGACTACAGAATCGTGTAAACATAACTTTTAAATCCACTGGGAAACAAAAAAAGATATTGCAATATTTGCTTTATTGCAGTGCTCTGGCACGGAGTCTGCAGTATCTCTGTGGTATGCTTGTATGTTGTTGGAAGGGATGGAAGAGCAGCTCTAGGCTCCTGGGAGACTTCTCAGATCCACACTGAAAACTGGCTTTTCAAGGGAGTGGCTGCCTCTGCCTTGCTCACAAAGATAAAGGATTGGTTGTTGTTGTTGTTGTTGTTAAGTGCCATCGAGTCGGGTCCGACCCATAGCGACCCTGTACAGGGTTTTCGAGGGTGTAAATCTTTACGGGAGTAGAAAGCCTCATCTTTCTCCCGCGGAGCAGCTGGTAGTTTCGAACCGCTAACCTTAAGGTTCGCAGCCCGATTCGTAACCACTACGCTACCAGAGCTCCTTAAAGGATTGGTAGGCCACCAATTAAACCTTAGTGTTGGCTCAGCTGCACTTACCAACAACAAAGGATCATTACTGCAGCCATCTCCACTGCTTCAATTATCTCTCAACACCATCCATGACACATATCTGTGTTACTCCTTTGAGAGTCTATGACCTCGCTAGGCAGCAGAAAGCACCAAGGTTGTAGGAAGTTAACCTCTATCTCATTACGAATCGGGCTGCAAACCTTAAGGTCAGCAGTTCGAAACTACCAGCTTTTCCACAGGGAGAAAGATGAGGCTTTCTGCTCCTGTAAAGATTTACAGCCTCGGAAACCCTGTACAGGGTCGCTATGAGTCGGAACCAACTCCACGGCACATCACCACCACCATTGTTGTTGTTATTGTTGCTAAAGGTCATTGAGCCAGTTCTGAACCATAGTGACCCTGTATAGGGTTTCTGAGGAGCAGTTAGTGGGTTTGAACTTCTAACCTTGAGGTTAGCAGTCCAGTGTTTATCCTACAGCATCATACCAGTACTCTATAAATAGTCTTAGTCTGGGTTCTCTAGAGAAGCAAATCCAGTGATGCTTATATATTTGCATATAATTAAAGGTTTATATCTAGGAAATGGCTCACACACTTGTAGAGGTAGGCAAATCCTAAGTCAGCTGTCAGGCTTCAAGTTTCTGACTCATGTTAACTGCAGGGCTGATGAACCAAGATGGACAGGCCAGAAGACAGGTAGGCAGGTGGGGCAGGTAAGATGGCAGCTGCTAACGACTCCCAGAATCAGCAGGCAGTAGAGCTGGCCACTGGCTCAAAGAACCGGCAGTTGAATAATGAGCCAGAATCCAAATTCAGAAGAAAATGAAGGAAGCTTCCACCTTCTGTTGTTGTTAAGTGCCGTTGAGTTGGTTCTGACCCATTGTGACCCTGTATAGGGTCTCCAAGGATCGTTTGGTGAACTTGAACCGCTGACCTTATGGTTCAAACCAACTTTGAAGTCAGCACATTAACTCACAGTGCCACACCAGGACTCCAATTGGTAGGATAAAATTGGTAGGATATAATTCACATCTAGTCCCCTAGATGCAAGAGAGTGTGAGAAATGTAGTTTTAAACTGTGTGGCCACTGCAGTACAAAAATAGTTTGGATATAATGCTGAGTGTCAAGCCATCTATCTACCATGTTCTTGTTGTTGTTAAGCGTCATCGAGTCGGTTCCAACTCATAGTGACCCTACACAGGGTTTCCGGGGCTTTAAATCTTCGTGGGAGCAAAAAGTCTCATCTTTCTCCTGTCTATCTACAATATATGGGGAGAAATATTGAGTGTTTATAATAAAAATATTCTAAAGAGGGTTTCTAATTGACTGAATATTTAATAAAATTTTAAACACTCTTATGTCTCTGAAGATTATAGGCAGGTTTACATTTATCAGGTATCTTATTAACCATACAAAAGGTGACTTCCTTCCACCAATTTTACCACTGCAAAGTTCAGAGGGTTTCCCATTCATTTGGAAATAGTGTCTTAGCTATGAGTATGTAATGCTGTGATAACAAAACACCTCACGTGAATGGCTTTAACAAGCAGAAATTTATCCTCTCACAATTAAGGAAGCTAGAACTCCAAATTCAGAGTGCCAGTTCTAGGGAAATATGTTCTCTGTCTCTGTTGTTTCTAGAGGAAGGTTTTTGTTTCCTTTCAACATCTGTGGGCCCAGTGTTTCTTGGGGATCTCCACGTATCTTGGCATCAATCTTCCTTTGGGTCTAGGTTTCCAGTGCAAGGACCCTGAGTCCAAAGGATGTGCTCTGCTCTAGTGTCTTCTTTTTTGGTGGTAGTAGACCCCACTCTCTCTGCTCATTTCTCTTTCCTTTTAATTCTTATGGATAAAAGATGATGCAGGCCACACCCCAGGGTTTGTTGTAAATTTGATTAAGTTTCCCTTATATCATATCAGGGTTGATCACATCATATCACATCATGGGGAATGACTGCATCATTACAGTCAAACCACTGAGAATCATGACCCATCAAAGTTCACACATATTTTGGGGGGATACAATTCAATCCATACAGATAGACAGACTGAAAGATAGACAGATAGATATAGATCTTATGTTGCAGTTGTTGTTAAGTGCTATAGAGTCATTTCTGACTTATAGTGGCCCTATATAGGGTTTCTGAGGAATGGCTGGTGAGCTTGAACCGCTGACCTTGCAGTTCAAAGAGAACTTGCAGTCCAGCACATTAACCCTCATATGCACTTAAAAATTATACTGTATTATGTAAAGTCTTAAAAATGGAGTAAAAATATCTATCTACAATCCTACATCATTATCACAATAACCATTTTACTCTCTTCATGTACTTATTTTTCCTATTTGTGAATTGAATATTTATAGAATTTCTTTACTTTTTCAAGTAACATTTCATTGATAACATTATGATACAACATTCATATAACATTATTATGTAACATTCCATGTTGTTGCATATCATAATCACAGTTTTTAAGAGCTACAGAAGGACTTAGCTGCATTAAGTACACGTGTCATTGATTTAAACATCCCTTGTTAGTTGAACATTTGGGTTGTTTCCAATTATTTACTAATAATAGTTTGAAGAAGAGCTTTGTGAATATTTAGGCTTTTGTGCTAACACTTTCTTAGAAGTGAGACAGTAGGTTAATATGGACTGCTTAAACGGTATATGCTTTTAAGTGAGTTTCAATAGCTTTTGATCAAATTACTTAAAAATGAATTTTCATAACAGCAGGGAATTTTTTCCCTAGCTATCACTAGACATAGTGTTTGTTTCTTGTTTCCTGATAAAAGGGGCATCTACCACATCCTTAGCACTCATCTTGGGAGCTACTGTTGACAGCTACCAAAAATGGGGAAATGGTGTCCTTGGCTTTGAGGTTTCTACTGGCAATACTCACATGACTATCTCATATCCCTAAGAGCTGCCCGGGATGCTGTGACCTAAACAAGGACAGGGTGAGGGCAAAGAGCAGGCACAGCACATCTTCAAGTATCTCCTCAGCCCTTCCATATCTCAAGGCCCAGCTTTTGGACCAGAAATGTTCTCTGGATAAGGTAGGGAGGGAGGCCCTGGTTGAAGTAGCAGTTGATCACCAAGAGTCAAGTCTTAAGACCTGGAACATGCATATTTAATTTGTAGATTCCCAAAAGGAGCAAGACAGTGTTATTTAAGTTAAAATTAAGTGTGTTGCACTTTATTTGAAGCCAGCTTGGGATGGCTTTAAGAACTAGGAGAGCAAACTCTTAAAAGACAGGTAGACACATGTTGCAAGATTTTACTGTCAGCTGCTTTGTACTCGGGGAACTGGCCTCTAAACATCTTCCAAGCATGTCAAACCCACAGAACATTTGCTAGAGTGCCTCCTCTGAAGGACTCCGTCCAGGATACCACTATCTTGGTCAATTCGGAACAGGGTGGACTGGGCTTCTCTGTAAGAAATTAGCCCTATGTAAAGCAAGGTGTTTTCAGTGAAACACATTTTGAATAAATGGGCCTTTCCTCCAACAATATAGTCCAAGCAAGACCCTCTATGGGTATTTGCCCTTGTGTTGTACAAAAGAAAGTGCGCGACTGTGGTCCTGGAGTGTTGCCTCAATTCTACAACTCCACTCAACCCCCGCTCCCCCCCAACCACCATAACTGACATCACAGCAACTTCCCTCACTTCAAGGCCTCAGAAATGCCACAGCTTGCTGAGCAATACTCTGCAAAACCACTGGCTTTGGGGGCTGGTTTTCCCTGAGTCGCTGTAACACAAGCTCTAGACATAACTCCCTAGAGGCCTAGCTGACCCTCTCCAATGATGGCCACCAGCCAGCCCACCCTAGAGGTAGTACAACTTCCCGGGACAACCCAACGTCTCCTCTCGCCCCCATCCGGTTGCTTAGAAATTTGCACGGGACAGCTGACGTCACACAAAGAGGCGGGCCCCTACTGTCCTGCACACCAATGGCGCGACCGCAACTGGCCTCTTCTTTTCCAGTGATTGGTGTCTTGACCCCTCGGCTCCACCCCAGCCCGCCATGGCGTCAGGCGCCGTAGCACCAGGGAGGTGGTTCCCACTTTAAGAAGTGAAGTTTTTAACCCCCTCCCCCTCCCTGCCAACCTCCAGCAGCCGCCCGTCCCCGGGGGAGCTGGCGGATGGAGCTACGCTGCGGCGGCATAGGGAGCCAGGCTGTGGGGCGGAGGATGGATGGGGACACCCGAGATGGCGGCGGCGGCGGCGGCGGCAGCAGCAGCGGCAGCAGCAGCAGCAAGGACGCCGGGTCGGAGGACTATGAGAACCTGCCGACCAACGCCTCCTTATCCACCCACATGACAGCAGGAGCGATGGCCGGGATCCTGGAGCATTCGGTTATGTATCCAGTAGACTCAGTGAAGGTGAGCCGGAATTAGACGTTGTGGAGACAGCGAGAGAGAACTAGAGAGAACACGCGCTTGTTTGCATCCCGCGCAAGACCAGAACCAGGCAACGCAATGAAAGCACGCTCTCCACGGGATAGTGCCGGGCGTGGAGCGCTGGGAGCCGCAGCCGCTCAGCCCCTTCCCCGGCCGGGCAGGAGGGGCCGGGGGCGGGGCGGGGCTCGGCGGGGGTCTCTCCCGGAGCTGGCGGGCGCACGAAACTTGGGTGCCGAGAAGCGTGCCGTGCCGCTCCGTTTCTTCCGCCACGCGTTTCGGCGTCTGCGGCGCTTCTAGACCTGGCGAGGTTGCCACACTGCTCCACCGTCAGCACTCCCTCGGCTGTCCCTGCTGGTGGCGCCCGCCGCTGGCCTTGGTGGTCATGGCGAGGATCCCGAGGGAGGGTATCCGTGCATCTTTGTACAGTTCTACTACTTCTGCTCCCTCGACTCGGGTTTTGGTGGTTTTGCGTCATTGTGGACTGCTGTGGACGTACTCCTTGCGCGAGCTGCTGCGCTGGGGGTCCACAGGCGTGTGTGGGGAGGCTGAGACTGCCCACACGTGCGGCATTTCCTAGGAGGGGAAGCGGGAAACAAGCTCACACTGAGAAACGTGGCCGCAGCCGGCCGCTTACCCTCTGCCTATGGCATTTTGCGTCTGCTCACGGTGTTTTTGGGGGCATGCGGGTGCCTGGTGGTGCAGTGGCTAAGCATTTGGATGCTGAAACGAAGATGGGTGGTTGGAATCCATCAGCCGCTCAGCGGGAGAAAGATGTGGCCATCTGCTTCCGTAAAGATTCACAGCCTTGGAAACCCTTTGGGGGCAGTTCCATTCTGCCTTATGGGGTTGCGATGTGTTGGAGTCAATTCTCCTACAGTGGGTTTGTGTTTGTGTTTGTGTGTAGCAGGAGTTCTCGGCCTTTAGCAGCTCTCTTAGGAGTGGGTACCTCTTAAGCTACGCCCTTCGGGAGTACCGTATCTACCGGGTTTCAGCTTCTTATCCTCAGAGCCTAGGCGCTAGTGAGACTTAGCGACATTTGCTTGCAGGAGGCGGGCAGGGAAGGAGAGAGCTTTCGCTCTACAGTTCTTAATATGCATTGTGTAATACGCACATAGTTTGTCCCATAAGCCTATTCTGATTACACCCTCAAGTAGTTATAAATACAGTTCTGTAAGGAGGTAGCTTTAGCAGGTGAATTTTACCTGTTAGATTTAAGGCTGCCACTGGCGTAGTGGTTACGAATCGGGCTGCGAACCTTAAGGTCAGAGGTTCGAAACTACCAGCTGCTCCGCGGGAGAAAGATGAGGCTTTCTACTCCCGT